GTGAGCCCTCACACATTTATATATTACATTTTTATTAATTAAACATTTTTGAGTTTTTTTTTTCAATATTAGATTTAGAAAAAGGATATATATTATAATTTCGATTTAAATTACATTTAAAATTTTCTTCTACTCTTATTATAATAATCATATTATTTAGATGAAAGAAAAAATATTTTAATGATATATTATAACAAAATATAAATAAATATTATAATGTTTTGGATAATTTTGTACCCGCTTCGTTTGACGAGTAATTAAGGGCGACATATTAGACTATTTTTGGAAATTAATTAAGGATTTAAGACTCTATGTGCCTCGATCTCCTTACTGATGTAAATATTATGTGAAAAATAATATATGTTTAGAAAAACTCATTTTTTAAAAAAAATATTTTATCACCATTCTCTAAAAATTATTTTGAGGCGAATGCAATAATATTTTTTTTAAAGATTGCCTTCTGTAAAATTATATCTACAAGGCGAAAAAATAAAATTTATGCCTAAGAAGACTTTTTATTAGTGACCTGCATCGGGCCAATTTTACAAGCCCGGCCTGACCTAAAATTTTTTTTTAAAAATTATCAAGACCGGCCTGGCCCGAATTTATTTAAATATAGAAATTAATTTTATAATTGCTCAAAATAAAAGACATATTTTCTAGTTCTACAAATAAAATAAAATATTTTTATTTTACATAAAAAATTCAATATAAAATTGATAAATTTAGATATATTAAGAAATATTTTCAAGGCCCGACCCGACCCGGCCCGAATTTTAAATATTAGTCCAAGGGTTCAAAATTGTTCGCAGTATGAATTTTAATGTGTGGAACATAAATTAATTAATTTTAAAAAAAATAATCTAATAATCTACAACACTTTTTATTACTTTTTATTTTTTACTTTTAGTTAATAAAAAAAGGTTTTTTTGCATTAAAATTTTTCCCAAGGTGTCCGAAACTGGATCCTATTTTAGTTATAAATTTTAGGTGGTATTCCCTGAAAAATATTTTTGAGGCGAAGAAAATAATAATTTTATTTTAAAGATTCTTCTCTATCAAAATTATATCTGCAAAGAGAAAGAATAAATGTTATGATAAAGAAGGCTTCTAAAACTATGGGTAGCTCACTCGTCAAATATATCAAAAATAACTGAATTCAATAATATTCATGCTTATCAGTCAAAACTGATTATAAGTTCTCTTTAAAGGTATTAGAATATCTCAAGGTTCAAACCGATTCACGGTCTTTTTTTAAAGTTCAGGTTGGTTCAGGGTAGGATTTGGTAAATAATAGAGGATAATACAGGTTTAACAGTTATATATGTTCGGTTTAAATCTCTAGATTATTTCGCCATTATTATTAATCCTTTTCTTTCATAATTTTAAATTAAATTAATTATTTTCCATTATTATAATTAATTTATTCTTGCGTTGGCACGAATACCAAACATAGAGTCTACTAATTTGTCATCTGATGATGATATGAGGCCAGATGGTTTAACTACAATATCATTATTTTAAATTAATACTTAATTAAGGACTTCAAAAATGTCTCTTTCTTTTCAAATAACGTTAATTCAGATCCGGTTGATATGAATAAAATTTACTAATGTAACTAAGTAATCTTAATCATGGTTATGCCTATTAACATTTGTATATTTAATATATAGTGTGTTCTCTATATATATGAGGAAATGGCTAATCTGTTAAAGCTAAAGTTTTTCTGACTATTAGCTAACAAAATTGCTACCATTAAATAGCTGTTTTATATAAAAGGACTATGATGAATAGCCATAACCAAGATAGATTTTTTTATAGTTTTCTTTTTGAAATAAGTTAGCCATATAAAAATTAAAATGAATTTTAAATTATTTGGTTCAAAATATAACTATATTGTTATTTATAAACTATATCAACTCACAATAAATAAGAAGATAAAAAATGAGGGGGGGGGGAGGTTAAACAAAAATAAACTATTGTTTTCTATAGCTATAATGGTTATGTTTAACCAAGGGTTTATATATGAAAATACTCCAAAGTTTCCTGATAGGGATGTTATTAGTAGTATTCATGTTATTAATGTTAAGACGGGTAGGTGGGACCAAAACCCTATAAAAGTTGTAATTAAGAGAAGGGTTACTATCATTTTATAGTGCCTTTATCTTTCCTATAGGTGTTATTTTTGAATTTGAGCATTATAGGAGAATGTTTTATGAAAATTCATACTATCATTATTAACAAATTAAAATATTAACGGTCAATTCTATAAAAACATAAGTGTAACTATAAAAACATAATTAGTTAATTTCGAGTTTTTTGTCTCAGCAATAACAACCTTAGGTGAATTAACAATTTCTGGAAAGAGATGTATAATTAAGCATTTGCCTAAAGACCAAGGTACTTAAGTTTCTAATTTCAGGCTATCATCTTATGATAAATTAGCAGACTCCATGATGTTACTGAAGTTTCTAGTTTCAGGATATCATCGGATGATAAATTAGCAGACTCCAGGATGTCCGGTTACCGGGTAGACGTATGAGTAAATTAAGTATAATAAATTTAGTTTTTTGAAAGGAAATAGAGCATTAATAATCGTAAAAAATCCACCAAATCTGAATCAAACTGTTGAACAAGTATTAGCCCTTATTATTTAGCAAACTAAACCATTAAAAAAATTCATCCTAATTTGAACAGAACCTTTAAAGATGTGAACTGATTTGAACGTTTTAATATTTTAATTCTTTTAAATAGGATAAATAGTCAGTTTTGACTGATAAATATGTGTAATTTATTTTTAGGTAATTCTGTATATTACTAATTGACCGTGCAAGATACACATTCATAGTTAAGTGCGATTGTGGCGAATTATAAAAAAAAATACGGTATTTTTGAATTTTCTACCGTATTTCGAGCTAATGTGAACGAGGGGACCCTGCATTCATAAGCAGGGTTGCCAGGTCAAAATTTTCAAATTGCGGGAGAAATTTGGTATTATGCGGGAGAAATATAAAAATTGCGATAGAAATATAAAAATTGCTAAAAAAAATATTTGGCCTTAGCCGGGATTTTGAATTGACTTAATTATCCGCCTATTATTTTTTATTTAGTTTATATAAATACAAAGTCGGTAACTATTTTTTAAAATAAAATAACATCTTGATTTGTTAAAATATATTAATTTATAAAAAAAAACCAACGATCTTTTTTAAATATAAAAGAATGTTAACAAGATAAAATTTTGCGAATGTTTCGCAAAACGACCGCAATTGGAAATCTACCGTGTGTGTGTATAACATTATAGGGATAGGCGCTTAATTATAACGTATCACGTTTAAATACATAATAAGGTTTTCCAAAAATAAGAAATAATACAGATGAAACTACTTGCGGCAATTGTAATCACTTATCTTGTAGTACAACATTCACAGAGATACTTATCATCACGATGTTGGTAGAATCTTTTTCCATAATATTTAACGACTAATATAAATGAAAACTATACTTGTAGAACAAAAATGGGCAAGGCTATCATCAATGTTTTAGGACCTAAATCCAGGAGGTAAATTCTTGACGAATTGAAAAATAGGCATACATATGCAATTCTAACAGATGCATCTAATAAGAATATTTCCCTTGATCCTCCGCTATTTCATCAAAATTAAGGTCGTTTCAATACAACTATTAAATTTTTTCCCCTCAAATAGTGAAAAATCCAAAGACATAGCTAACCATATAAAGGTAAATATAGCAGATTCGAGATTATAAATAAATTGCATGTCAGCTTTCTGATTTTGCCTCAGTGAATTTGGTAAAAAACAGAGTGTATTTACAGAATTGAATCAGCACAATGTTGGTTTTGATATGTTCCTAATACCCGCCATCGGAATTTTAAAATTTTATAAACATTTAAAAAAATATTTCATAAATAAAGATTATAAAAGCTGTCCTAATATTTTGAAAATTTTTTTCAATAATGAATGGCAGAGGTATATTTAGGAATGATTTCACATGTAGGAAATCTATTACATGCTGTTAATGTGTAGTTGAAAATCAGAAAAATCTTAAAAGATTCACCAAATTATATTGCAGATGTGTTCATCTTTACAGTTAAAAATTGACAATAAATTTTATAACGCCATTACTAAAACTTAATTATAGTTTATTTGAGATTTAAATAATAGAATTAAATGTTTACCGTCGTTATTGAGATATTTATAAAATTCCTGGCATGACATATTATATATTTATTTAACCATTGGTTCGGCCTCTAATGTTGTTAAAGCAATCCGATTTCTCTCCTTTTTCCAGGCAGTCCTCATCAAGCTAAAAATGCGCTCGGATGAGGCATTAGAATGAGGTAAGGAGAAGAATACTCGCATATTTTTTCCAAGCATGGGGATTTATCGTTATTACGAAAAAATTCTACCCATTCCTCCTCTGCTTTTAGACCTTCTAACTTTAAGTATTTTGGCGAATCATAAAAAATAGAGAGAATTACAATCTCCTCAAACAAGACATCAATGTCTTTCGGTATTTTTAATATATTTATTAAATTATAAAAACCATCAATTGATGGTCTGTTCCAAAGTCATAATATTTATACATTTTTAAATAGAGTTATTAAAATCAAATTTTGATTGTAAATATTCTAAAATTGTCTTAATAAAAATATCTGCTTCATTTAAAAAAATGTATTAATTAGAGTATTATTTGAACATTTTAATATAATATTTTTAGCAATAGCGCCATAAAATTTATTATCAATTTTTAACTGTAGAGATGATCAGAACTGTAGCATAATTTTGTGAATCTTTTTTAATAAAGAATATTCTTATTACAACTAAATATTAACTGAATGAAGTAGATTTCCTACATGTGAAACGAATCGCAAATATGCTTCTTCCATTTCATACTCGAATAAAATTTTCAAAATTTTAGGACAGCTTTTAAAATTACTATTTAAGAAGTTTTTAAGGGTTAATTTTAAAATTCTATCGATGGCAGGTATTTATGACAACCACCTGATAGGTATATATCGCAACAACTCCCACCATTCCAAGTCAGACCACTTCACCAACTCTTTTAATTCATTAACTCTTTTAGTTGATGAACTAAATTCGTTAAAACATTTCATCACAATTATTTCGACATCCACAGATAGTACATTCATTGCCTTCTTGCAAGAATTATGTAGATATGGCATATACAGCCAATTGGTATTAATTCATTATTGTGCTGCCTCAATTCGGTAACTTTGGTTTTTGCCAAAATTTACAGAGGCATTATCAGCGCGAAAGCTGACATGCAAATTATTGATATCAGCTATATTTACCATTATGTGGCTAGCTACATTGTTGAATTTTTTACTATCCGAGGAAAAATTTTAACAGTTTTATTGAAATGTTCTTATTCTTGTTGAAATGGCGAAGGATCGAGGGAAATGTTTTAATAGTTCCCTTATTAGATGTATCTAATAGAATTGCATATGAATGCCCATCTTTCAAATCGTCTAGAATTGACCTCTAGGATTCAGATACTAAAACCCTTGTGATAGCCTTGCTAATTGTTGTTCTGCCACAAGTAAGGTTTGCACTAATATTGAAGTCGTTAAATATCATGAGAAAAAAATTCGACCCACATTGTGATATAGCTCTGAGAATGTTGAACTACATGCATGATAGATATATACAATTTCCGCAAATGTAGTTGCATCTGTATTATTTATTTTGTATTGCAATCGATGTTGATATACTCCCCTGTACTGACTTATATGAATGAAATGATGTTGAATTATTATTGGATAAAAATAAAACAGGATTGAAAGAAATTTACAAACTAGACATGTTTTTCGATATATAAAATTTATTTTAAAAAAATATAAAAATAATCAATTAATGTCTCTCAAATTTATTATTTATAAATTAAAAACGTTAAAATACTTTTTTTTAAATTGCTGGAGAAATTAAAAAATTGCGGTAGATTTTTGCGGGAGGTTTCCATTTGCGGTAGTTTTGCGGGAGAGAGAGGTCTGCGTGTAAACTAAAAAATGTCGGGAGTCTCCAGCTGATGGGGGGAGACATGGCAACCCTGTTCATAATTAGTACGAATTCACGGCGAATTTGCGTTGTTAGCGTATAGAAGTGTTCTCAGCCATATATTTCCTCATTATGGAGTTAAAGAAAGTCTAAAAGGAGGAAAGAAAATTGCACGAAAAATAATAATAATTTTATTTATATTATTTATTTTTTTGCATATTTTGGAAGACAAAATTTTTAAATTTTTGAATGAATGGCAAACTGTGTAAATAAAATTACACATTTGATTTTATTAAGTATTGTTGTCGCGAAAACATGTATTAGAAATATAATTTGTCCCATTTTTTTAAAATTTTTAAGTAAATTATACACATTCAAATAATGATTTTAAAATTTTATTCTATATTATGTGCTATTATTTCTGGTGTCATGAGCTATGGTATAGAATTTGTATAATATTAATATATATATATATATATATTAAAGATTTCCTAATAAAATTGTGAAAAAGTTATATTTGATACAATTCGTGGTTATATATTAGTTTGTGAAAAAATAGGTGAGTACAGAGTCCAAAGCCCTGAAATACCCTTTTTTAATGATATTAAATTAAAAATAGAACATAATATTAAAAATTCGAGACGAGAAAACAAATGTAAAATAAAAATTTTGTAAAAATCTTTAATATATATTTATTTCAACCAAAAAAAATTTAAATAAGCATCTTCCAAAGTTATTGTCAGTTACATACCATCCTGGAATCAGGCGAATTTAGATATATCGAATGTAAATGGTGATCTGATGACTCATTTACTCTATGCCTTTGTGGGAATAGGGTCAGATGGAAAAATAAAAGTTGAATCAACGGGTGAATTATTTAATAATATATCATATTCATATTAATATAATGTAAAAAATTAAAGCTAGATATAATAAATAATTTAGTTGATATATGATAATTAGATCCATTATTTATAATAATTATATTTATTTGTAAAAGTAAAAGATGATTTCACAAAATTGAAGAATTTAGCAACCAAGTATCCTAACTTAAAAATTTTGCCTAGTGTTGGAGGTGCAATTTGGAGTTGGATGTTCGAGTAAAGAAGACATTAAGAATATCCTAAACAATTTTAACATAAACAATTTTAAAATAAAAATTTATTAAAAATTTATTTTTCATTAATTCAGTCAACTCAGCACAGATGCTTTGATCCAAACATTTGCGATGAGCTGTAAAACTGTAATACAACAATACGGATTTCATGGGATTGATATTGATTGGGAATATCCTTATAGGAACGATAAAGCCAAGTATGAAAAGATATTAAAAGTACGTTTCTAGCTAAAAGCACCATATACAACAAATACAAAAATAAGCATATTATTTTCTACTTATTTTACTTTTAAAATATTTTATCATAAATAGTTAAGACTAAACTATAATTTTAGTAGTTGAAAAGCTTGTATTTAAGAAAAATAAAAACAATGAATTTATCTCTGGGTAGGAATTATGATTATTATTTTATTTATAGACCAACAACTTACATTTTCGATGCAATTTTATATTTCCAACAGCTATTTTTGCCAATAATCTTTGTTTCGATTCATAACTATTCGCACAATCATTTATGCATATAGATTCACATTTTTAATAATACGCGGCTATTTTAGTTTTATATTTCTTCTCTTTTTATTTTACCCTCAATATAGATATTTTTCACCTATTAGACAACATCACCCGCTATATCAATTTATATAAGGACAATCATCAAACTCATAAATCTATTTACGAATATATCTTTGCAGCCCATACCCGCTATTCGCTTTAACATTCTTTTGTCACCAATTTCTCTAATTTGCACATTAGCGGAGAAGAATATTTATTACAAATAAAGTAAATTAATTAACCAATTGTAACAAACCTTAATCTTAAAATTTCTCACAAATGTGAATATATGTGAATAAATGCTTTAAAATTTAATTAACCAAAAAAATAAATTTATTCATAAATTAGGCTACTTTACTATTTTTTTTTCTTAGCTTATTTATCCTTCCATCAACCCTAATTCCCCCTCGCATTGTGTGCATTACTCTATACCCTCCTATAGGCAAATCTCCTATCTATTTTCCTCTCATGTAGACACTGAATGTCATACTTTTTGGTTAAATATTGCTGTGTTTAAATATTTTAGTTCCTAGCCTAAATGCCAATGCGTATCTTTGGAGGCTATCAGACGTTATCTTATTGTTTTGGTTTGATAGTCCTCGACATTCATTATCAGTCATGTTCATAACCAATGAACGAAAGTTTTTAAACTATTTTATGTCTCTGTTCAAAATAAATGTTCAATGAAGCTTAACATTATAATTGCACCTCAATTCTTTTATGAACTGCTTGTGTGATAATTCATTCCCTCTGTTACATTGCCAATCAGTTAGATAACGTGAAATTAAGTAACAAAGGTTTAATTAGATTATTAAAATTGGGCTCTCGGTCATTGATAGAAGATGATAAATGAAAAGATTGGTGTAAATGAGAATATAAACCAAGTTCTCCGGAATTTGTTGGAAGAGTAATTTTATAATAAGGATTTTAATTTTATTTTGTAGACTTTTTGAAATAAGAATGTCCTTTCTGAAACAGTAAAGATTGGAAATGTTTAAAATATCATGAAAGATAGGATTAAGATATTGTGTTTTGATGTCATATTATATGTTCCTTCTGATTAAGCCATAGTGATAATTTAATATTTAAAATTTTTTAAATATTTAATGATAAGTTTTATTGTTGTAAAGGCTAAGAGTGATATTGTCAATCAATTTGTTTATTTGTTTATTGAATCTGAGTGTAGCGTCAACTAAATATCAAATGTTTATACTAAGGCCACATTTAGTCTTTATATTCTGAATTATAAGTTTTGACCTAGAGGACCGCCCTGCTAAAATCCTTGAGCTGATAAAATTGTGCATTGTAATGTAGAATTGATGGTTTCATAGCTTAATTTATGTAAATTAGGAATTTTGCATATTTATCGGAAAACTCATCACAATGTTACAGCTTTATGTAATGAAGACATTTTTTATATCAAGATGGGAAATTATTGCAATTTAGCCTATTCATCTGTTTCTATTCGTTTTATTTCGTCATAAATCGTTCTATCCTTTTCAGAACTACAGTTTCCATGTAGGTGACCTTTTAAAGCTACTATCTTTTTGGAGATATTGTCATAGTCTAGTTCAATTTATAGTCATGATCTTGAGAGTGATATTTTTTAAAATAATTTTAATTAATTTAATATAAATTTAGACTTTGCGTCAAATACTAGGATCAAATCTATTAATTATGTCAGCAGTTCCTGTTGGTGTTCAAAAGTTTGCTGGATTCGATGAAGTCGCAATGAATAAGTAAAAAAACAAATATTCTATTGAAATTATCTTTAACCAATATCTATATCTTTTCTGACTTTATTTTGAAATTTATTTTGCCATGAATAATATAAGTATATAAATTATTCTTTACTTTTAATATAAAGATATCTAGATTATGCATTGTTGATGACATACAATTTTCATGGATCCGGATGGGAAAGTTATACTGGTCATAACGCGCCTCTATTTGGCTCAGGACTCCTCACAATTGTAATCTCATATTAATCAACAATTTATTAGATTGTAATACAATAATAAGAGAACAAAAAGATATTTTTGAAAAAAAATTTCAGAAAGGTAGCGTGAACGAATGGATAAAGAAAGGTCTTAGAAGTGATAAAATTGTAATTGGGCTGCCATTTTATGGTCGTACTTGGAGATTGCAAGATTCAAACAATTTTAGAGTTGGAGCACCATCAGTTGGAGTTGGATCTGGTGATGGAATCTTGGCATTGAATGATGTAAATCGATATTAAAAGTATTATATTGTTTTAAAATCATGATTCATTCTAATAAATTTTATAAAAAAGATAAATATTGAAGCTTGGACCCAATATTGGGATGACATAGCTAAAGTTCCTTACGCTGTTAAAGGTGTAGACTGGCTGAGTTACGATAACGAGAAGAGTCTAGAAACTAAGGTTATAATAATGAAACGATAAAATATTGTGAGAAAATTGTTACTAATTCTATATAAATATCTGATTAAATAAAATATTCTATGACATTACTTTCGTATTTAACATATTCAAAATTAGATTCAATGGATGTGTCACAACAACTATCAAGGAGTGATGATTTGGGAAATATCACAGGATAAGACCCAGGTTCTAGGTCAGTTTATCAAAAATAAAATGATTTCTTATTGCAGAGGAGGGAATTACAATTTATCTATTACAAACCCATTAAAAACAACCCCACATAAGCAGCAGACGTATCCGATTGCTGCAACAGATAATAATGGTTGCAACAATAATATTGATACTATGTGTAATCGTCACTCACTTGCCAAATATCCTAAGGATTGCAAGTAAAAAATTCGATATTTTTAGTAACAATTTAAATATAAATAACTGCTAGTTTTTTCTTTAAGAATTTAATAAGGGTAGGGGGGGGGGGTTTAAATGTTAAAGAAATTTTTTAATTTCTTTTAAATTTTATATTGAAGATTATTAAGATGATTTTAAAAAAGCACATAAACATTAAAATTTAACATAATTTTTAAATGATTTAAAAAAAACGTAAAACAGCAAATATGTGGATTGTCGAGTTAGAAACCATCCTATAATGAGTTGCCCATCTGGTTTACAATTTAACGAAGATAGTCAAATTTGTGACTGGGCATATAATGTTAAATGTTCTTCATGTTAGACCTCATATATTATTAATATTTTTTTTAATTAGAAAATATTAGTTATTATTTTATATTTTTCCTTATTATATTGATCATATTAAAAATATTTTTTAATTTTTTTAGTAATTTTTAACAAACTAAATAAATATTATAATGCTTTGGTTTATTTTTTGATTGAATCCATTTTGACTTTCTTTCTTTCTGAAATATTTAGAGCAGTGACCGTAGGCAGTTATACCGTCACAGGGAGGTGGAGGGTCCGGGATTTTCGGAGAGGGTGATAGGGGGACCAGATTTTGTTAGCATTTTGGTCATCGTGCTAAACACTATCAAAAAAATAAAGGGTAAGTACCATCGGTAAATTATTAGAAGGTGACCGGAGTCCCCTTGTAGGTCGTTTATTTAACCGAGACGGCAACAGCCGCACCGTAGGATTAGTGCGGATTTAAACTTTAGTTAACTCAAAAAAACTCTACTGAACGGAATGCTTAACACTGCAGGATTAGGGCGGGTTTACCATCTATATTAAACTAAAAAATATCTAACGATATTAGCCGCACCGCTGAATTAGGTATGATTTAAGCCCTAAATTAATTGGATAAATTAGGGATAGCTTCGCCGCTCTACTTAGGGCAGATTTAAATCCTAAATTAATTTGTTAAAGAAGGAACGGCACATGCCGCACCGCAGATTGTTGCGAATTCAAGTCCTAATTTTAAAAAAATTCAAAAGGACGGCATACGCCCCCTGGCAGGATCAGCTCGTTAAACTTTAGTTAACTAAAAATATATAAGGAACGGCAATCGCCGCAACGCAGGATTAGTGCAGATTTAAAATTTACCTAGTTGGGGTTGTCACGGTCGATTTTATATGGGGTAAGTAAAATCTAATCGCAAGATTTATTGATAGAAATTTTTCGTCGTAGTTTACATAAAAAAATAAAGATCGCTATTACATAATTTTCACCTATATATATATATATGTTAGCATTAATGTGTTTTTTTTGGCAATTTGTTATTTTTACAATTTTAAATCATTTTTTAAGCACGTTTTTTTAAATTAAAAATCTGATATTACCGAAAATAAGTTCTATATCATGTTTGGAAAACCTATCTTATGAACTGTAGACAATTTTGCTGCTAACCTTTGAGTCATTTATAATTTATATAAAAAATATATTGAAAATTTAATATAAATTATATTAAGTTCAAAAGTTTATGGAAAGATTGTCTGAAATTTATAGTATCCAAATATGAAGGCATATATTTTCGGTAAAATCAGATTTTTAAATTTTTAAAAATCGGCACAAAAAATAATATAAATTTGAAAAATAACACATTGCCGGAAAAAACACATTGACGCTAATATATATATACCAAAAGAGGGTTGATAGCAACTATTTTTTTGCCATAAAAGAAATAACTATTTATACAATAAATTTATTATAAAAGATTTTATCCTTATTGGCCATTCTTAAATCTGTATTGGACCAGTCAAGTGACTTATGGTCAAGAGAAAAAAAATAAAATAAAATAACAAGATTTTATAAATTTTAATGTCATGCAAAGAATGTAAAGAACTATGGATAACTTATAATTAAAACAGTGGGGGAGACTTCGAAAGAAAATTGTTTATATTCCTTTTTCTTTAAAACTATTTCTTTCTATTAAAAGGTGTAACATAGTTAAATATGTACTATTAAGATCTTAAAAAGTCCGATTTGGGTAGATTTTTAAATCCGAATAAGATAATAACAAAAATAATATTACTTGGAGATTAGCTTATAGAGGGTAAAAAGTTTTGGACATATATTTTCTAAATTTAGCCCAATAATAATAAAATATTTTAGGAAAATTAATTTAATTAACCTGCCTGGCCATGCTAAGATAATTATCAGAATTTTACACTACAATTACATTTGCTTAGTAAATTGGAATATAATAATATTCATAAAGAAAAGGGTTAATGGATTACGCGAGAGCATTGAATAATTACATACCGTGTAACAAATAAATCTTTACAATATTTATCAGTTTTGCTTTAAAGTTTATAAGTCTTCAGGATTTAATATCCCGTGGTATATAATTGTGTGCTTTCAAGCTTTATAATCTGTTTCATTTTGGACAGTAAAAGTCAAATGTATCGTTTATTTTTGTATAATTTGAAATATTACAAGTAAAAAGATAAATACTGATCTTTAACAGTAAAAGAAAATTAAAAACAAAAAAAGTAAATTGATTGATTAAAACACATTAACCATAATAAACATAATCTGGAATACTATTTTTTAATTTCATTGTTGCACAAAAAAAGACGTCGGTAACACCTTTGATACAATCAAATTCTAACTATATTGATGATGTTAGTTAATCATCAATGCAAATAGTGTATCATAATTACCATATAGTTCACGATATCCATTAAAACATTTTTTACTCTTTCATTGAGGAAATCTGCAATAATTTTTAAAAATATTAATAAAATTTAAGTTATTATATTAGGACCACATTTAAATAAGGTTAGCATTCATTTAGTTATTACCTATTTTTGAAATTGATAACAAGCAACTAGAACCAGCTCTTAAATATATAATATAAAAATGAGCTAAAACTTCTTACCAACACTACAAAATACACCATTATTATACCGTCAATTTTTAGTAACTCCTGTTTTTCAATCGTTTCGTATTCTAGCGAGAAATAATTTTTAGCGATTATTTTTAAATTTTTTTTATTTCGTAGTTATCATTAGTAGTAATATGACAATAAGTATTATATCTTTATGTTAGACACTGATTATTATTATAAAATAGGATATGATGATTATGAAGATTCATCTTCGTTAAACTTATTTTACGTAATTAGAGTTATCTGTGATGAAATGTATAATATGACAAGAGAATTTTTTTTATCACATTTCGATTTAGACATTCAAGATTATTCAAATATAAGCTCTTATGTAAGATTTATCGCATTATTTTTTACATTTTAGATTCTAGAATATATTTAATTATAATGTGGGTAATGGAAGAAAAACTCTATTTAGACTATTGGCTGCAAAAATTCCTATTAAGAATACATATAGAATTCATAAGCATGTATAAACACTATAAAAATTTCAAAAATCTATAATGAAAAAATAGGTTATTTTGCAAGGTAATAATTATGAAGAAAAAGAATTATTTAATGAGGATTTTAAATCAGAAATTATTGGTTTAAATAAATTAAATGATGAGCAACCAATAGCATTATCCAAACAAGAGTTTATATTGATTTAAACTTTTTATAAAAATAAATTTAGTGATAATTTTATTATAAATGACAATCAACGCATAATAGAGTTAGAAAAACAATTATCCCTTTTAAAATCACATATTGCTGACATTGTGATTAATCTAGAGAAGTCTTCCTCAAGATCAGACTCATCAACTCATTTAAACAGTAAAATTATATGTTTTAATACAATATTTAATACCATGTTTAGATATTGATGGAAATCTTGCTATTCCAAATAAAGTGTCTGATTGCAGTAGCTTTATGATTCCACCACCTTTACCCAACAATACAGTATTTTATTCTAGTCCTATGACATCATTACCATTAACTAAAATGGTAAGATTAACATAAATAGATTAGATAATCTTAAATTATTATTTGTATATAGGAACAAGTTATTATAAAAAACACTTTAAATAAAAATAATGGTCAGCTAGAGGGCAATAAAAATGTGCCTAATATACCATCCATACCTAATATGTTACCTCATTTTTTGGAAGACATAGGCAAAATTAAACTAAAGCCTGTCATCCCTAAGTATATATAGATATATATATTATTCCATAAAAATAATTATATTTAGTGGTATAGTATCATTTTTTTAAACATCTGGACTTTTATCTATCATCTTATTAGCTTGATATATAATTTATTTGTTAAATAATTTTAATATGACCAATTATAAATGCTTATTTCATTAGAGATCCTGTCAAGAATTTTAAGAAGGTTTTTTTGGCCTGACCCATAAAATATTTATATTTTTAACTTGTGTGGACCAAACTTTGGGCCAGGCTATTGCAGATCTTGCAACTTTATATTGTCAAAATTAATTTTTTAAAAAGAATATTCAGATTAATAAAGAGCATGACTAAAATACGTGTCCCCGGTCAAGCGGGTTTAATTTATATAATATTAATAAAAAATCTTATTTAGCTTTATAAGATGAGTTAAAAAATGTTTTTTATGATTTAAAAAAAATGATAACTTAGTAAAATTTTTAAAAAATTATTTTTTTAAATAAAAAACTACGCGTTCCCGGTCAAGATACATTTTTAAAAAAAAAATAAAATCAGATTCGTATTTAGCTCATTAAATGGATACATTTTTTATTTAAAAAAAGTGGTAACTTAGTAAAATTTTTAAAATACTAATTTTTTACATGAAAAAACTACGTCCCCGGTCAAGATACAATTTTTTTTTTTAATAAAAGCAGATTCATATTTAACTCATTAAATGGATACAGAAAATGATTTTTTGAAAAAACACTTTTTTCTTCATTTTTTGACTAAAATACGCGTCCCGGGTCAAGATAGATTATTTTTATAAAAATGAATATAGAATCGTGTATAGTTTTTCAAGGAGATTCCGAAAAATGTATTTATAATTTTTTTTTTTTAAATTAATTTTCGAAAAATATTTTTTTTGACTAAACTAGGCGTCCCCGGTTAAGATACATTTTTTTTAAAATAAAAGCAGATTTATATTTAGCTCATTAAATGGATGCAGAAAATGTTTTTTTTTATTTAATAAAAAAGTAGTAACTTAGTAAAATTTTGAAAAAACACTTTTTTTTTCATTTTTTGACTAAAATACGCGTCCCCGGTCAAGATAGATTATTTTTATAAAAATGAATATAGAATCATGTAATTTTTTAAAAAACATTTTCTATATTCATTTAATGAGGTAAATATGAATCTGCTTTTATTTAAAAAAAAATTGTATCTTGACCGGAGACGCGTAGGGACGCGTAGTTTTTTCATGTAAAAAAATAATTTTTTAAAAATTTTACTAAGTTATCATTTTTTTTTAAATCATAAAAAACATTTTTTAACTCATCTTATAAAGCTAAATAAGATTTTTTATTAATATTATATAAATTAAACCCGTTTGACCGAGGACGCGTATTTTAGTCATGCCATGATTCTTTTTTTCCAGGCCAAACTTTGCCCAAGAATTATTTTTGTATCTATCCAAATTTGATCCAACTTATTTAGGATATCTCCTTAAAAAATTAGCATCCTATATTCCTTATTTATTGATGTTTAAAATACTCATAAATAATGCAAGATTAAAGTATAGAAGCAAAATTCATGCTACTTTTTAAGGCTGAGATAAAATTAATAATTGTCAGTTTTTGATGCTCCGATTATTGCTATATTTTTATTTTAGTCATATACTTTATATTTTGAATTATTTTTTTTAATAAACTTACAATTAAATTTATATTTCCATTTAAAATTAATATAATAATTAAATTTATATTTTCTTTTAATAGCATTTATTCTACCTGATAAAAAAAGCATCTACAAATTTAAATGTACACTTTTAAAATCATAAAGGTGATCAAAGTCAGATGAAAAATATACCAATCAGGTGTGCATTGGCTCTCCAGGATTTCATTTTAGGACCCCTTAAAAAAAAGCAAAAAAATGGAAATCCGATCTAAAATACCAAAAAAAATTAAAATCTAGTCATTAGAAAAAAAATAATGAGAAATCCAAAAAAATAAACAAAGAAAAATTGTGAACCCATTCTATTCTTAAAATGGGTTCTTTAAATATTTCACTACAAGGACCTATAACATAAGGTTGAGTGGGTGTAAAAATCAATTGTACCAATGAAATCTCATTTGCTACTTTTTTAGTCAACCTACATGGTCAGTATCCATTTTATATTTTAGTCAGTGGGGAGGGGAGGTCTCCACATCAATGATTTAGGAGGGTCTAGAGGGTGATGCCAACCCTATTATCATTGGGTTTTGGGCATACAATTATTTTTTAAATTTTTATTTATTTTTTATCACCTTCTATTGGGACACATATACAAGGCAATTTTATTAATTTCCTGGTGCAAAAATAGCTTCTCTTAAGTCTATTAAATTATCCCTATGAGTTGTCATCTTATGTATAAGATAAACCTACAAGAGACAAATTTTTCCCTAAAGTCATTTAAAGATATTAAATTGCCAAACCTGAATTACGAAAAATCCATTCAAAAAAATTCTTAGATTATATTTTTATCTGTATCAAAAGTTTTGATAAAAATTTACTTATTTCATCAGAAACATTTTCGACATATATTTTTTTTTTGAAAACGTTTATATTCCTTGGACAAATATGACCCTAGTAAGAAAAGACAGGCAGTATGTAAAAGATGATCTAAAAATGAAATATTAGCTAAGAAAGTTTTTTTACCAAAGAAAGTTGGAATCTGGGCTAGATTTCAATTTTTAAATAATATTCAACTCTACAAGCTTGAATGAATAAAATGTCATCCGGTCAGATAAAACTTGGATAGGTTCGCGCAGGGCTCAATAAATGAAATTTTAATATTATCAATATGGAATATTATTGAATTAAAAGCAACATTTTCATTAATATCAAGTAGAAGTAGTATTATGTTCCAGATATGCACTGCTATTCATACTTGGTTTTGGTAATTAGCCCCTTTCAATCTTAACCAGTAAAACTTCAATAAATCAATAAACGAAATAAAATTGGTCACATTGAGCCATATCGGTGACACAATGATGCCAAGGTGGACACATTATATTGTTAAAGGTACCAAGAACTGAAATCGTGTTAATTTATTACTTTGTTTTACATTATATAAAACAAAATATGAAATCCAAACCCAAAGATTTTATATGAATTTTACCCGCCAGCTACTCAACCTGAACCTAAATTAATGTATTAAATCATTTGAATTGGAATTGAGCAACGTATTTCCCTTTAATAATTTTTGCACGAGGTTTCCAGAAAATTTACGAAAAGTCAAGCCTGGGCCGGCTTGTTAAAATTTTACTAAAAGTTCACCATGGCCCGAATTTTTTTTTTACGAATTTTCTGGCCATCACATTTTTAATATCAATATCTAATTTTTCCCCAAACTACAATTAAAGGTTTTACATCTCTCTATGGCTATCCATTTTCTACAACAATCGTTTTATAAATCAATTGTATTTTTGAAATCTGTATTGCGTAATTTGTTATTGGATCTAATCTCAAATAACTTGTTTAATATCTTGTTAATATTAATTGTATTATTTATATAGACAAACCCTTAAAATAACCAAGAAATTAACGTGCTCTAATTTAAATCAAATAAATTAACTCGAAGTTTCAAAAAATATATAAAAATTTTAATCTAAAAAAATTCAGAGTCTTCGTTTTTTATATATAAACTGTCTAGCCCAGCCTGTTTAATTTTTTTTAAATTTTTCTGTCCAACAGTTCTCTAATGGTGGTATCAGTTTCATTCTATCTCGCAAGAAAAATAGTTACCATTTTCAGATTGAATGACATTTTTTAGCTCAAATTGATAAAAAAAATAAATATTTTGGAGGAAAAAGGAGGATATTTTGGAAGTTTTTTTTTGTATTTTTTCGAGGTTGGAATTACCGGCTCCATATTTTTACGAGATAACATTATTTTTGAATTAACACTACTTTATCTTAATATTATTTTGATATTGGATATTTTCGGTACTTTTAAATCGATGAATTACACTCTTATTTATTAATAGTAAAAAGCAAAAATCATATATAGCTGTGCCACGTATCTATACTGGGCCTATAATTTTGGGATCGGTTCCATCCGACATTTATTTTACTGCCCAAACTATTCCATTCTCTAGAGGATTAGTTGAATAGCTTTTTTGCATCAATTCTGCACTAGAAAATTTTTTAAATATTTTCTTGCAAAAATTTATATAATTAATAATTTATCGTACAAAAAATAGGTCAGTTATTTTAAAAAAATTTATTTAAGGCTGTGCCCAAAATATCAAAAAAATCTATTTCGCAAACTTTTAAAACTTTATCGAAAAAAGAAGAACTAGGTTTTTTTTAATATAAAAATAGAAACTCAAAATATTTCATTTTAAGTTTTAAAACATTTCGAATTTTTTAAGAAATGATTTTGAATTATAGGACTCTCTTAGTTATCAAGCTGAATAAAAAATGTTTAAATTCAATACCCATTTTGAGTTTTAACGATAGATTTTCAATTTTAGTATCACGCACACCTTATATGATTATATGTTTTTTTAAATGATTCCAAATTGCATATAGGATAAATTGTATCTGTATATTTATATACATTTATAAACCATGTATTTATATCTAGATACATTTGGAAAAGTATCTTAGTATGGATGAGTACCTCTACATACGCTGGAATATATTTCACTTTAAAATAGAATTTTATAAACTCCCTCATTGAGTGAATTTAAAATTGAATTTAGCAATCCGATTGTATTTCATAATCCCAAAACGGATTCAGTAAATCAGGGTTATCAGAATCGGCAAAAATAATTAGATCGATATATTCTGATAAGAAATTTGTAAGCTTCTTTATAGATGGGTAGAAATTCCGACTCTGTCCAAAAATTTAAAACTATTTATAATAAAGAAAAATGTGATTAGTAGAAATGCGCGCATATAGCTTGACTATGCAATTAGAAAAGGCAACTTGGACAAATTTGATCAATTTTGTAATAAAAATAAGATTTGAGATGAATTTTTGATTAAATTAATCATACTCAGACCAGTATACCCCGTTTTGAATTATTTCTAAGAAATATTATATTTCAAATATTTCCCTTTTTTAAAGATGTTTTTCTCGGCTTTTAATTATTTATTTTTTAAAAAACATTTTGATATATATATTTTTTAATAGTAAAGTTCAAAAGCGATAGATATCTTTTCTTACATATATCCTTCAAAAGAAAAATTAATTAATTTATAATTTATTGTTGTATAAACATTTTAATTACAAATTTATTGTCAACTATATAAGAAAGAGAAAAAAAAAAGAAAGGAAATTTATAATTGTAACTGCTATAGTTTAAGCACTGATTAATTGATATAATTTTTAATAAAAATTCGGCTTAGACCAGATTTTAAATTTTTTTAAGCCCGGCTCAAATATCATACCATTATTTTGGTCTGGTAGGTTGCCCATTATTTGATTACGTTGCCTGGCTTAGCATAAAAATTTTGCTTGTGGGCTTGGGACAATACCTTACCGTTTAATACCTAGTTTCTTTAGAAGACTCATCCCCAAAATAGATGTATTCTCAGTCATATAATTTACAGGTATACAGAAGAATGATTGGTGAATCATAAATTTTGATTTTTACGAGGTATGTATTAATCTGCGAACTGTACCTATATTTTGATGAAAGGTGATTCAGAAATTTTCCGCATAAAATATGTTAGTTAAAATTTTGTTACATAATAAATAATATTTATTTTTTTTAAAAAAAACATCTATTTCATAAATATTTCAAAACAAAATTTACTTTATACCCGCACGATGAAACAAATACTTTCAACTACTATTTCATTTAAAACATAATTTATCTTTGTAGTTTATGATCTTCTTAGATTTAATCTTTACGGTAAGTGAGCTTTCGCAAATATTATATTTATACTTTTTATTGCCCTACAAAACCCATCACTTAGCAGGAATAGTTTTCTTTAGACCATAACATAAATTATTCGTTAACATATTTTATTTAAATAACGAAAAATTTATGAATCTCCTTCATAAAAATAGGGAAAATTTTTTATTTACATTCATTCTTTGGGCGGGCTATCTGCTAGTTAGGTAATATTCAGCATAATTTATGGTAATATAAGAAAGGAAGTATGCACTAAATCACAAAAGGCCTCGTTTATGGTAAGATTCGACACCCTTGAAATATAGAGAGGTAAAGAATAAACAAAAAATTTGAAATAATACTCTTTATTTTATTCACTTTTTTTAAATATATCTTAAAACTAAATATTGAAATATTCGACACACACACTATTAGAAACATTAAATATGACTTTTTAATTAGCATTTCAATATTTATTATGCTTCTATGCGAAATTTATCCATCTCAGATATATAATTATGAGCGGGTAATTTGATTGACATTTTATAAAGGATTAGAGAATCGTAATAACTATCCATTTATAAGACTAAAAAATTCTTTTTATCGAGTAGAGTTACCTTGCATTAAAAGTATACAAAAATTAATGTAAAATTATTATATTTATATCATATTTTGTATACTTTGCCGCGAATTCGCGTTAACTTTGACGCAAGGTAATCCAATGCTCCGTTAGCGATTTTTTTTATCTTAAAATCTTATATCACACGATAATATTTTCAATAACAGCTGTACCAAAAGATCGTCTAATGAAGGCTCTTGCTATTGTAGAAAATGTACGATCATCAAAGGTAGCGGGAAACAACTGGTCAAATCGATTATAAAAACTTCAAAATCTGATGATATATGTCAATCAAATAATTTATGCGTACCAAACGATATTTTATATAATGATATGAATAACTCGAAATTCGTTAAAAATAAAAATTCGCAAGCAGACGATACTTCTCCCATGAATCTCATTGCCAAGGCGATCGCTCGAAAATTCGCCAAAACGAATTTGCATGAGGTTAAAGAAGATTTTGATTTATCATTTGAAAGGGATTCATTCCCCGACGTTAAGAATCATCTTAATGCCGACAAAGGAATCGATACTATTAATTCGGAAATGAATATTCAGGCATATTAAATGATTTTATTAAAATTATTCGATTCGAATATGAATAAATATTCTCAATTTTTATATCACCTGTTAATTATAATTATCAATGGGTTTTTTTTGTGTATACGAATTATTAGATTGTATTTAAATTTTTAAAAAATCATATTTTTTTTTATTCTTAATTATTATAATAATTATTACATTTTACTATTTTCTCGTTAATTCAAAATGTTGAGATGATTTTTTAAAAAAAAAATAATATTTTTGTGGAATATCATGTTTACAAAATTTTATATACCCTTATATTTACAAATGACGGTATGTAACGAGAAGAAAAAAGAATATAATATTAAGTAATCGATTGTATAAATTTGTTTTTACTAAATAATTTACTAAATCACACAAAAAAAAAGGGTTAAGTTAAAATTATGCTAATATAATTTGATAATCGTTTAAGTTAATAATTTATCCCGTTAAAGCTTGTAGTGACGTGGCTATTTGTTTCAAGGTGTTTATCTTGTTGATTAGATCCAAAAGATATCCAGGACCTAAAATAAATTATAAGACAAAGTAAAATTGTGTTAAATCAAAAATTCGTTTTCTGGAATAACATAATTATTTTTAATTTTTAAAAATAAAACACTAATTTTTTTAGGGGGGTTTTATTAGAATATTTTGAAATTCTCAAATTACAACACTTTTAAAGTTCGGTTAATTTAAGAGTTATTTTTTTAATATATGGTCTAACCATTTATAACTTTCGATCCAGTAGTTTATAAAAATTTTATTTGTTTTTTAAATTTAGCAACAGATTTTTATATGTTAGTTATTAAATCTCTTTCTAAGAACTGATGTGAATTTCTGAACCCGAACAATCGGTATAATTTTAAAATGTGAAGACTAGATTCATAGTGGGATCCGATCCGACAAGATTTAGGAGTAATTATTTCGGTATTTTTCTTTCTTAGAAGTCTTCAATATTAAAATAGTAACTTTTAAGCTATTTCAATAAATTTTTCTCAAAAAAAAAATATTAAATGATATGCGAAGTTTTTTTTTCTCTCGATTTTTAAATAGAACCCGGTGAGTCGAAGGAAAATGTAAAATAATTCGAGCCGATATCCGAAAAAGTAAAATATAAAATAATAGTTTTTTTTTCCTTGTTTAATAGGAATTAGAAACAAACGTATCATTTAAATTAAGGGGGTTCGAGCTTAACATTAAAATAAAAATTGGGGCATGTTTTAGCCTACTTAAAATTTCATTTCGGGGTCAACCCAAAAAAAGAAATTTTAATTTGCAAGACTACTGCACTAGATATGAAAACTTTTTAAGTAAAAATAAATTAATTACTGAGAGAAACGTTTTTGGTGCTTTTATCCGTAGTCGCATCGTCGTCATCATCTGACACCTTTTTGGCTCGTTTAGTCTTTTTACTTTTCGTCATTTTGGTTTCATCTTTGTATTTTCGGATTGTCGAAAAAAAGAATCATTTTTAAACATAAATAAAACCACAAAATTAATAAACTATAATAAATAACCTTTACCTACGGATGGGGACATTTTGCCGGCTTTTGCTGCTTTCATCTTAGATAATTCTAAAATTGTTTAGTTTAATGAATTTGAATACATTTCAAGATTATATAATTTTTTATAAAAAACAAAAACTGTTATCAAATTTTCATACTATTAATTGTATTACTCAGTCTTATAATAGTTGTGATTTGGAGTATAGTTATTATTTATCTTATAATAAAATACTATTATACCCAAAAACTATATATATAGTAGATTCATAATAAATTTTTCCACTAAATAAAATATAAATTAGAAAAATACTAATCATTCAAAACTTACCTATTTTTTTTTTCTGTTTGGATCCTATAATCTAACATCATTTCCAAGAATGCTTAAAAAACAATTTATTATGAAGCTGAGGATTACGCTTGGATTTCAAGCAAGAAATGTGAACGAAATAATCCGTCATGCTAAATAAAAACTTCAACATTTGAAATATCATAAAAAGACATGACAGAGTATTATTCCCTTGTGATAAATCCCCATCAAAAACCTCTACTTCCTCCCCTCCTAAAAAATTTTACCGCCTTCGGAAACGATAATATTACGTTATTAATTATAATGGCAAGCCCTTTATAATATTTTAAAAAGAATAACTTAAATTATCAATGCCTTACTACAAACTATCAAAAAATTAAATTGTGAATGTGAAGGTTATTTTTTTTAAAATATGAATTAAATTATAAATCTTAAATTCATTTACGATGAATGCATTGTTACAATATTTTGTTTGGCATTATCAGTAGCGCTGTGCCAAGACTTGGCGGCTCAAAAAATAATTTGGCGCGCCTTTAAAAAACACGATATACCTAAGCTATTTGATAAGTTTTCGCAATGAGAACTAAAAACATACTTTATTTAATTTTAATCATAAATGAATGTATATATTAACATGACAATATTCATAGACTAAAATATTGCCATCTTATTTATCCTCGCCTTTACAAAGGTGGATATTATGTCGGCATAATCTAAAGATTGCGATATCATTTCCTATTGAAATTATATCGAGAGATTAACAAGTCGGTCCTGTACCAAACAGAATCGTGGATAAGTTTTTAATTAATTTGATCTTTAGAAGCCGCCATCTGCGGATGTCACGGTAATTGAAATTATTAATAATCTTTTATATAATGGATTTATTAGGTAAAGTTTCATATAACCAATTTGTGTTAATATAGAGTAAAATTTCCAATGGAGTGTTTAATTCAATTAATATCACATTCTAACGTATCCTGATCTGTTAAATATTTAATTAACAAGATTTTTTTAGCTCTCTTTCAGGCGCATTTGTACATTCCGGTATATTAAATATCGATCCAAAATGATCTTAAAGAGCTTTGACTGCTGGAAATTTTCCTTCAACCAATTTTTCGCTTGATCTAGCAATACATTGAAAAATTCAGTCTCATATTTTTTTGAGGATCATGTATATAGGCGCGTCATCTTCGTAAGAAAATTGTTTTTGAACTTTCAGTCTACTTATATTGTTATTGAATAAACGCTGAGTTAAGGGAATTATAAAAGCCGTTTCCCTTAAAACGATATTAAAATCTTGCGCACTTTATACAAGTGTATGGTTCTTTCTAATTAAATATTGTCATTTTACATGCCTTACTAAATAACCAGTTGACAAGAGTTACCACAAATAGAAATTGTTTTAATTTCTTTGGCCAATAAAATGTTATGTGCAGCATTTCGGATTAAAACGTCTGAAACTAGCATAGTATATAATATGCATCAACACTTAATATTCGAATCTAAATCTTAATTAAAATAATAACTCAATCTACTAAAGTAATTTGTAGCGTACCCACCTGAAAGGTAAATGTATAAAACGAAGACTATAGTGCAAGCTTTTTTATTTTAAAGTAGACTAAGCAGGATATCCATAATAGCTATTAAAACAGGACATTTACTAGAAAATAGACCAAATATTTATCCCAATAGTCAGTTAATAAAAATTATTTTCTTAAAAATAAATTTATATATTTTTAATTTACCAATTATCTTATTTCTCTGCCAATAGAAAATTTAATTGAATTGGTTTTAAAAGATTATTTATAAATAGATAAATTCAATAAAAAATCAAATTTCATAACTAAAAAATAAATTAAGTTTTTTTTACTGAATCAAATTTTTCTTTATAATACATATAGCTAGACATGCAAAAACTTTTTTCTAAATTTATAGTTGAATTTTCTACAAAAAAAAGAGTAATGTTTTGTATGTAAAAAGATAAATTCTAATTTTTAAAGAGGTTTTGTATGTAAAAAGAAAAATTCTAATTTTTAAAGAGGCTAAAAATAATTGAGCAAATTTATAAAATTTGGTGGCCCCAAATTGTCTAATTTCGACCCCGTTTTACGGCTCTGAGTCTGAGTTTGCAATTAAAAATATAGAAGAAAATTATCCACAAATAAGTTTTATTTGAAATATAATGACCCTTGCAAAATATATAGCTGTGAAAATTAATTTAATGTCTTCATATTTAATATAAAGGCATTAAATTTTTCACAATTTTTTGCTCTATTTCATCTAAAAAATTTATAACCCCCCCCCCTCCCACCAATAAATTTAGGCTATCTCTAGCTTAACCCCCCCCCCCTCTTAAATAATTTGGAGGCAAAAGGCACCAATCCCCTCCCCCATTATGTAGACACTGTTATGAGTAATTAAAAAAAAATATTGCAAATATTTCATTATGTTGAATAGATATAACAAACAACATTATAAATTCATAACTTTAAAAACATTTGGGGTCTACACTTTAAAATTCTAATTACTTGGTAAAAAAGAGTTACAACTCATCTTGCTACCACAGTATTTTAATATTAAATTAATTAGATTTAAAATACGTTAGTAAACCTTCCTGGAATTTCGGTGGTAAGGTTATGCCGCTTTCTTCTTTTAGTTTATTCAAGGCTTCCATATCTGCGCTACTGAGTTTTGAGACCTTTTGTTTCAGATCAGCTTTCTGTTCTGGGGTAAGCATGCCAATTTTTTCCTGAATAGCTGCCGCATCCGATAATTGTAAGCTTTTCAATTTCTTTAATAAAGCTGTGAATTCTGGTGATTGTACGATATCTTTAGTCTCTCTTTTACCTTTAGACTTTGCAGCGGCTAAATATAAATATCAAATTATTTCTTTTTTATATTTTTAAACAATTTAAAAGAATTTTAAGCAAAATTTTTTTAACTATTGAAAATTATGGTTATAAACCCTATATAGTGTTAAATAATAGATTATTTTTAATGTTTAAAGCGTTATATTGTAATTGGAATTTTTATATTATGTTTAATTGTGTTTAAAAGAGTTTATTTTTATGATCTGAGGCGATGTTTTACCTTATACAAAATGATCAAATTTACTTTTATAGAGTATCTTTTTGATATTAAGAAAAATCGAATATTTATAATAAAAATAAAATATTTGGATAAAAAAAACTTTGATCTATTCTTATCGTTTTCAATTTATAAGATCAAGCTCAGCTTAGTTGCAAACTTACCTCAACTTAAGTGCTCTCCCCTCTTGCATCATATACCAAAAACTCCAGCGTGTTATGAATCATATAAATTTTAGACAATAAATCGTTGCCTATTATTATTTTTGGAAAAGAAGGTAATTTAAATTTTAAAGTCGAGTTTTTTTTATGATATAAATTAGATATGAAATTAAGATCATCTTTGGAATCAGCTGTTTTATATCTTCTCCGCATTAGTGTTGTCGATTTTTAAAAATGGCCCTATTAAGATTTTAACCAAGATAATATTATGTAAGCCTCAAGATTTGGCAAATAGGGGTCAAAACCTTTCTGCCACTTATGAGAAAAATCTCCAGGCATATTTAATATTATTTTGACTAAATCGGGCCGTTCTCACCAATACTACTCCGAATGTTACATCAGTTAAAATTTAGCATCCAATTATAATTATTAATATTGAAATTTATAGAAATTATAACTTAATTTTTAATAATATTTTCCTTCGAAGAAGTGGGAGGAAAATTAGAAATTTAAAAAAAAACTATGAAATCGAATGTTGAATGATTTTCGAAGGCAATCGAACTATCTGATTAAATGGGCTAAAAATAGTTACCATGCAATTTGGATTAACAATGTAGAAGCGGAATGCCTAACCTCAGCCAAATAAATAAGATGGCTATTTATTATTTCTAGATTAGAACTAAATTGTTAGTGGAACATATTTCTAATAACTTTATGATGATCCAGTAGCCCCTACAACACGGAGAGTGTTGTTCGAAGCAACTACTTCTTAAAATTAAACTGAGGGTACTTTTTAAAAAAAAAAATTTATATTAATTTTTTTGTTTTACCACACTCATCCATAACCAATAGATTTCTTGTCTTATAAAATTATTTTTATAATATCTAAATTTGTCCAAAAATATTAATCAAAAAAAAATACAAATACTCAATTAATAATTGTACAATAATATAAGAGATGACAAATGGACAGACCATATATGAAAAAGACAATGTGGGCTAAATTTTAACGACATAAAGGAAAGCTTTAAAGGGTAGCTTTTAAAGACATAATTAAACTAATAGCATATTCCGAGTCCTCAAATTGTATATTCAAAAAAAAGAAAGGATAAAAATACAAAGGGATTAAAATCCAAATTATACTCTAACTGTTGCCGTATAATAATATAAATATTCTCTCAAACCATTAAAAATATGGTTATAAAAAAATAAAGAAATTGTATCTAATAGATACTTTTGAATTGTAGTTTATAGTAATTTGATATTTTTAAATCAGAAGTGAAGCAATAGCTTTGTTAGTAAGATATATTGAAAATAATGAATGGCCTAAGCCGGTTGAAAGATGAATAGATTTATAATATTTTGAGGGTTTGAAGAATTTAAAAAATTCTGAAGATTCCGCCACTTCTACAATGGCTAGTGCTATTGTTTTTAGAATAGAAAAATATTTTTTATTTTATCACTTTGTGAAACCATTTCGAAGGATATAGGGTTTGCAATAAATAAAATTCAATTGGCGAAAGATTGCCTGATTAATTTGAGAAGTACAATTTAAATTATTATCTTGTATTATTTTTTAAACCATATTTGTGAATGTTTTTTCACAAGATTTTGTGCAGGGAAAATTTGCCTTTTGATTTTGAAAGTGCTCCACTTCAATGATTACAATCCAGAAAAGAGAGGTGTGTATACTTTCATTATTAAATATAATATTTTATTTTATCTATTAAACCAGTTTATGCAGCACTTGATTTGACATTATGCAGTTAAATGAAAGATTCAATGACGAATCGATTAAATTTTTAATGGCGGAAAAGACATTCGTTAAGGATGATATTGAGGATATCTGTAAATTTTAACCATTTAAATTCAAGTCAAATTTTTGAAAAAATTTATATTATGGCTAAAACGAAGAATGTAATTATTACACATGACTTTGAGGTTAAAGAATCTAAAGATCTTTCAGATTCTGAGAATTGTAAATTTATTTTATTAAAATATTTATATTAATACATCATTTAGCTTCTTCTTCTGTTGGATTATATGATACTTATGATTTACAAAAAATTAATTCGCTTATAACACATTGTCGTTTATAACTTAAAAAATTTCTGCTTTACAAAAACTCTTATTCTTGAAAATTTTTTTAAGAAGTTACAAAATTTTATCATCAGGTAACTGTGTGACAATCGATTTAACTCATAATTAGTATTTTTTTAAGTTTTCGGAGATTGGCAGCACACTGCTGCCTTTTGATTGTCGTCTGGTTTTGGGCTAAGCATTTGAGTGAGAGAGAATTTCAAAAATTTTTCCCATAGTCCCTGCCAAATATGAAAACCCTTCGTTTCTTATGAGATGAAACCTGTCAGGTGATTTAACATCTTTAAAATTTTTAAGCTACTTTAGATTTATTTAATATTTTAATCTGTAAAATATAGTGTATATTTTATTAAATAATTTATATTGAGAAATATTCTTAATTAAACAAATTGTTAAAAAAAAATTTATGTGTAATACTGGCATACTTTCATCTGGTGGAGACATCTTCCCGGATTTTGCTGCTTTCATTTTATCTAATGCTAAAATTTATTTATTATATATTTAATCTATTTCAATATAAGAATATATTTTGAATGTAAGTATTATAGAATGAATTATTCATCAATCTTCATTTGTATATTAATTGTATTCTTAAGTAGTGTTGCTAAATTTATCCAATTTTAACCCACTCTAAAATAACTTAGACGAGTTTGGTGAAAAAATTGGCTAAACATAATTAGGCTTGGCCTATAATCTGCTATTAGTTTTAGCCGTTCGGCCAAGCCTAACTAGGTATCTGGGCTTAAACTAATTAGTCCTGCTAAGAAACTCGGATAATCGTTCGTCAGATTCTCTTTATATAATAAAAATAAAATAATTATATATAAAAGATAATTTTAATAAATAGGCTTAGGAAAGATTTTCCTCACTCTTATAATAGTATGTTTGAAGTATAGTTATTATTTATCTCATATAATACTATTATTATAAACTATATTTTCGACCAATCATAACATAAATTTTAAAAAAAATACTATCAGTAACTTATTTAATTATTTTCTCATTGGATCATTTACTTACATATTTCAGATATAATGTTCAGGAAAAATTTATAGGAAAATTATACCTTGATTTTCAATAAATTAACATAGGAATTTTTTAAAAAATAGATCAGGCTAGATTCAGGCCAAAAAAAATTTTTATTCGTTATATTTAATTAAATAAATAATTAATCGAGGAAAAATAATTGAAACTTCAACATTTGGAACACCATACTAAGGGTACTTTACGAAATGGTGCTCAATATTTTTTTATGGATTAATTTATATTATTATTTTTGATAAAGGTTTATAATTATAATTTATAAAATATTCATAAGTTTATGAACATTAGGATAGAACACATGAAAACTTCTACAAATCAGAAAAATAACGTTTGAAGCTAAAATTTTTCCTCAAAATTTTATTTTTAAATTATTAACATGTAAAATACAATATTAAACCTTCTTGGTATTTCGGTGATAAGGTTATGCCACTTTTTTCTTTTAGTTTATTCAAGGCCTCTAAATCTGCCTTATTGAGTTTTGAGACCTTTGCTTTTAGATCAGCTTTCTGTTCTGGGGTGAGCATGGCTATTTTTTTCTGAATAGCCGCCGCATTTGATGCATTTACGCTTTTCAGTTTCATTAATAAAGCTTTGAATTCGGGAGAATGTGCGGAATCATCAACTTCTCGTTTACCCATTGACTTCATGGCTAAACGAAAGTGTTAAATTATTACTTTTTACATATTGTGAGAATTTATTACGAAAAATAAAATGTACATTGTTTAAACATTGAAAATTGACATTTTATACTGATATGCTCTCCTCCAGCGTTACTCATTTAGAATTCAATAATTAAAATTACCTCTAAATTCAATGATGACCTTCTTATTTTCAATATTATGATTAAATTTTTAAAAATTTCATCCAATGCAATGATATTTCCCCTGAGAGAAGTGGGAGAAAAATTATAAATCTTATAAAATGGGCCATATGATTCTAATGAGAATGATTTATGGTTATTCGATGTTATTAAAAAGACTGAAATATATTCCCTGATAGAATTTGGGTTAACAATATAAAGGCCAAACGCTAAACAGAATTAATAAAATGGCGACTTATATCTGGATCAGAAATAAATTGTCAATAAACATTATTTAAAAATTATCTCGATCAGAGAACTCATCTTTAGGTCGAATTTTGACTATTTACATAATCGTGAATGAATGATCGTAGATTTTGAGTTATGCTGCTTTTGAAAAACCTAACTCTGTCCAATTAGTTTGCATAGAAATACAACGTATCTTTGAAAAACTATTTTAGAGGTTGCAGAATTGCGTATAGGGTAATTGTGTAAGATTCTATTTAACTCATATTTAGCATAATTTTTTTTTAAGATTTTGCTAGCACAATGCTTCTTTTTGAATGTGAATTGTTTGAGTTTTGATCTTATAAAGTTTTTATTTAATAAAATGACCTTATAATCTGTCATATTTAAGCCGAAAATTTTCCTTGATAATTTCTATTCTCGAGTTAGAATGAGTTTCGAAAATTTTTTTCCAAAATTCCTACCGAATTTTAAGACTCAAATGAAATCTGTCAGGGTATTTCACTGCTCTTAAAATTTCATAGCTACATTAAAAATTTTTTTGCATTATACATCCATAAAATATGGTACACATATATATATATATATATATATATATATTAAAATATATTCTTAACAAAAATTTGACATACTTTTATCTGATGAAGGCATTGATTTTGCTGCTCTCATCTTAGATAATTCTAAATTTGTTTTATATAACAATTTAATCCAATTGTATACATTTAAGATTATATATATTTTTTATTTAAAGTTTACAAAAATGTATTATAATCATTAATCTCGACTCGTATATTAATTGTCAGTGGGTGAAAATAATTTTAAAAAAATATATATTTTTGAGCCCCCGGATATTGGAAAGGCTAGTGAAGCCTCTGTATCTTATAGTATAAATAATATTATATCTTTAAAACAATATTCTAATAAATACAATAAATTCTTCCATATTTCAAAATTAATATTAACGAGAAAATTACTATCAATTACAAAGTATCTAGTATTATCTGTTTGTATCCTCTAATCAAACATTTTATTATTCTTATAGAATATTCTGAAAACACTTTACAATTTATGAATTACGCCTAGTTGTCAGGAAAACAACGTTAAAAAAAAATTAACCAGACTAAATTTGAACCTCGATATTTGGTGTGTTAGATTATATTTTATTGCTGAATAGCTATTCGTAATATACAATATTACTGTATCAATAAATTTATTAAAATATTGGGAATATTATTATTTGTCTCAAATACTTTAAAATTTTAGACAACCAGAATAAAAACATTTGATCTTGCAGCATTTTTAATTTAAACTTATAAAAAAAAATACGTTATTAAACCTTCCTGGTATTTCGGTGATAAGGTTATGCCACTTTTTTCTTTTAATTCATTCAAGGCTTTCATATCTGCGCTATTGAGTTTTGAGACTTTTGCTTTCAGATCTGCTTTCTGTTCTGGGGTGAGCATGGCTATTTTTTTCTGAATAGCCGCCGCATTGGATGCATTTACGCTTTTTAGCTTCATTAATAAGGCTTCGAATTCTGGCGAATGTACGGAGTCTTTAACTTCTCTTTTACTCACGGACTTTACAGCGGCTGTTATTAAATTATTACTTTCATTTATATATATTTAATGAATTTACGATTAAATAAATGTATGTATGTTTTTTTTTTAAATATTTATAATTATTACTATTGATATTGTCTACACCCCAGCATGTTAGAATAGAAATTTTAACCAATATTTAATGTGGATTCCTCATTTAAAATCAACCCAAATAGTTGTATTCTAAGGCAATTATCTAAGTTTTCTTTAAACTCAAATGAACATCTTTTTTTTTAATATTGTTTTTAAATTGTATTTTATGATTAGATTTTTAAAAAATACATAGGGCCGTTTTAGAGCCATGGTTATTAAAGATGAATCTGTTAAGAGAGCTAATTCTTAAATTATAGCGAAATGCCCTTATATTATAATATATCAATAAGGCATTCGTTTTTTATACTGTAAAATTATGTATTTTTATTAACTCCCCTCCCATTATTAATTTAACACCTATAAATAAAAGGTAATATTAAAACTAAAACAATTTATTTTCTTTATCGATCTGTTAAAGCTGCGTAGATGAAACATCTTATCCTATCAAAAAAATGATATTTTACTTAAGAGAAGTGGAAGGAGAGCCTTGTTAAACGGTTCGCTAACTTAGTATTTTAGTAAGAAAAATATTACATAAATCTCAAGATTTCGCTAAGATGTCCAAACCTTTGAGTCTTCTATGATAAAATTCTAAGGTTTGCGTAATATTTTTTGTGAACAAAATATTAAGTTATCCGTTTTTTAAAAATCGGTTTAAATCGAGTCATTAGTAAATTAAGGAATTTTATGAAAACGAAGAAACTCTAATGTGGATTATGGAAAGTTGTTTTGACATAGAACGGACTAAAATAAATTGCCAAGGTAAAATAGGTATCCGAACCTCCGTTTAATTAATAAATTGACCATCTATACTTAAAGATAGTTAGTAGACCCTTCTAAATTTATCTTGTACTCAAAACTTTACATAGGCTGCTGACCATTTTGGAAATCTTAAAGGAAAATGATCATAAATTATGATTTTTTGACTAATATATTTTTATATTTTTTAGATATCGAATTTTTTTTTTAAAATAACTTATAACTATATTCATATTTTGTTTGCCCATAGCAGTGTAGCTAGCTTTGCAAAATTAGTCATAGTTCGAAATTTTTTTTATCACTTAATTTATCTGAAGATATGTCAGCACAGCGCTGCTTTTTGACTGATCTAGACTATACTCCGACGGCTAATCTCTTAACTTTCAGTACAAACGAGTTTCGAAATTTATTTTTTACATAATCCCTGCCAAATTGTAAGACTTTTCGTTTTTCATCAAATGAATGTCACTTATCTCGCATCTTTTTAAACTTTTTAACTACTTTAAGTTTTTTTTAAAATTTATTTTACATCCACAAAATATAGTAATATAATATGTAAATTTAAGATCTGCTAAAGTAGGCCCAGCCCGTAAAGCGCCAACTCGCGGGCCTAATATTTTTTAAGAAAATTCGGGCCGGGTCGGGCCTTAGAAATTTTTTAAAATATATCCAAATTTATCAATTTTAAGTTGAATTTTTTATGTAAAATAAAAAATATGTGATTTTATTTATAGAAAGTAGACCCCAAATAACATATATCGTTTATTTTGTAAATTTATATAAATTTTAAAAAAAATTCGGGTTCGGGCCGGGCCGGGCAAAACTTTATAAAAAAATTTTGGGCTGGGCAGGGCTTGAATAAGGCCCGATGCAGATCACTAATGTAAATATTATTCAATTATTTATATTAAAATATATTTTTTAATAAGACGAATGTTAAATTATGGACTAGATGTGTAATATCAACATACTTTTATCTGATGAAGACATTTTTCCGGATTTTGCTGCTTTCATCTTAGATAATGCTAAATTTGTTTTGTATATTCATTGAATACATTTATTTTAAAAAATGGTTACAAAAATTGTTAATCATTTATCTTCGTAACCGGTAAGATCATATTTTATTTCTAAATGACTAAAATTTCTAAATGCCATAATATTTTTGTATCAATTAATTTATTAAAATATTGGAGGTATTATTTTTATAATAAGGCAGAACATCATAATTACAATAGAATAATATTCATATAAAAATTCTTGAGTTTAAAAACATTAAGCTTGGACACTTAAATATCAAGACAATCAGAAAAACATTTGATCTTGCCTCAGAATTTTAAATTTATATATAATAAAAAATACGTTATTAAACCTTCCTGGAATTTTGGTGATAAGGTTATACCGCTTTTTTCTTTTAGTTTATTCAAGGCCTCCAAATCTGCGCTATTGAGCTTTGAGACCTTGGCTTTCAGATCAGCTTTCTGTTCTGGGGTGAGCATGGCAATTTTTTTCTGAATAGCCGCCGCATTTGATGCATTTACGCTTTTCAGTTTCATTAATAAAGCTTTGAATTCGGGAGAATGTACGGAATCATCAACTTCTCGTTTACCCATTGACTTCATGGCTAAACGAAAGTGTTAAGTTATTACTTATATTTTTACATAATCAAGAAATTTGATACGAATACAAAAATGTATTAATTGTTTTTTTAAATATTGTAAGTTATTTATATTGATATTGCCTCCATTCCAACGTGTTATGATATAAATTTTATACTTGTGGATTTCTCATTTAAAATCAACCCAAATAACTGTATTCTGTAGCAAACGTTTAAGTTTTCACAAATCCACAATCATCTAAGTTTTCTCTAAACTCAAATAGATAACTAATCATTTAATATAATTTTCTTATTTTAAAAATACTAGCTTAGATTTAAAGACAAGTGTTTTTACATGTAAATTCCATTTGAAAAATATAGGGCCGTTTAGTAACATATTATATTTTTGCGAGCCATGGTTTATTAAAGACGATTTCGTTGAGAAATTAATTATATAGTTAATTGTCCTTAATTATAATATAGTCTCCAAAATGTTCTATGGATTTTATAATGAAAAATTAAGTATATTTATTCACTCCACATTACCTAGTCTTAATTTAACACCTATAAATAAAATGTAATATTAAAACTCATAAAAAAAATTACAATTTAATTTCTTTGTCGACCTGTTTAGAGGAAACATTTTATTCAATCAAAAAAAATGATATTTAACTTGTAAGGAGTGATACACCCCCATAAAATATACCCCTATGTCATTTCTATGCACTTCCTCCTTGTTTACCATGATTATTGGGGTTGGAGAAAAGGAGAAAAATTTAATTTAACTAGTTACTTTTATAATGTAATAACTAGTTTATTTTCTTTAATGTAACGGTAAAAAATTTTAATTGTAACTTGTAACTGTAACATTTTTCAGAAACATCTTTTAATAACACTATATTTTTCATATTTTTTTGGATATTAAAGTTGATATAGATTATTACAAATATTATTAATTTTTCTATAAATTTTTTTTTTACAAAGACTTAATAATTAAATTGAAAATTTGAAAGTTTATGAAAACAATTCGACTCTTTTACATTAAAGGGACTAAAATAAATTGACAATATTATTTGAATTAGCAAGGTTAAATGGGTATCCGAGCCTCTGCTTAATTAATTAATTGGCCATCTATACTTAAATAAGAAATAGATCATTAATAGACTCTTTTAAATTTTTCTTGTACTCAAAACTTTACTCCCCGTAGGATGCTTACCATTTGCGAAATTTTAAAGGAATGTTAATAAATTTTGATTTTTGACTAATTTATTTTTAATTTTTATATACTGATTTTTTTAAAACCTAACTATACTCAACTAGCGTTTGTATAGCGTAGCTAGCTTTGCAAAACTATAATATAGGTTATATTATTGCATTATCAACTAATTGTGTAACAATTGATTATCAACATATCTATAAATTTTTCTTATCACATAATATCTCTGAGATATGGCAGCACAGCGCTTCTCAAATTATTTATATTAAAAATATAATTATCAATAAAACGAATTTTTAAAATTATGAATTAGAGTAATAGCAACATACTTTTATCTGATGATGGCATTTTTCCGGATTTTGCTGCTTTCAACTTGGATAATTCTGAATTAGTTTTATATATTCATTAAATACATTTAAAATCATATATTTTTTTTTAAAAATGGCTACAAAAATTGTTATAAATACCAAATATTTTTGTATCAATTGTTTTATTAAAATATTGTTGGCAAAACATCATAATTACAATTTTATGAAATGTTCATATTTGAAAATTTAAAAGTTTAAAAATATTAGCTTATAACACTTAAAATTTCTAGACAATCAGAGGAACATTTGATCTTGCTTATAAAAATACGTTATTAAACCTTCCTGGTATTTCGGTGATAAGGTTATGCCACTTTTTTCTTTTAATTCATTCAAGGCTTTCATATCTGCGCTATTGAGTTTTGAGACCTTTGCTTTAAGATCTGCTTTCTGTTCTGGGGTGAGCATGGCTATTTTTTTCTGAATATCCGCCGCATTTGATGCATTTACGCTTTTCAGCTTCATTAATAAGGCTTCGAATTCTGGCGAATGTACGGAGTCAACTTCTCTTTTACTCATAGACTTTACAGCGGCTAAATGAAAATGTTAAATTATTAACTTCATTTATACTTATTTAAAGAATTTACGAAAATATTTAAAATTATCATTTTACTATTGATATTGTCTTCACCCTAGCACGTTAGAATAGACATTTTAACCAATAATTATTGTGATTTATCACTTAAAATCAACCCAAATAACTGTATTCCGTAAAAAACACTTAAATTTTACCTAAACTCAAATCCTAGACAATCATTTAAGTTTTCTATAAACTTAAATAGAGGTCAAATTTTAAATATGGGTTTTAAATTTTATTTCAAGATCTTGTTTCTGATTTTTAAAAATAATTAGCTTAGATTTAATGTCAAGTTTTTTAATGTAAAGGGCCAAGGAACATGTTATATTTTTGCGAAGCATGGTTATTAAAGACGTTTCCGTTGAGATAATTTATTCACTCCCCATTCCCTAGTCTTAATTTAATACCTATAAATAAAAAGTATTATTAATACTCATTTCGACCTATGATATTTAACTTGAGAGAAGTTGGAGATAAATTAGAAAATTCATGAAAACGATGAAATTATAAACGAGAATAATCGACCTATGTTCGATTCTATGACATTAAAAGGGTTTTGCCAATATATAATGGATTAGCAAGGTAAAAATAGGAACGCGAACCTCCCCTTTATCAATAAAATGGTCATCTATACTTAGATGAGGAATAGATCGTTAGTAGATCTAACTTTATTATACTTAATTACTAAATTATATCATTAACTAATTGTGTAACAATTGATTCGTTCGAAATTTTTTTATCACCTAATTTCTCTGATATATGGCAGCAAAGCGCTGCTTTTTAACAAATAGACTTGGTTTGAATCTTTTTTTCCCTTTTCATCAAATGTAATCTGTCAGGGTATCTCACATTATAAAAGTTCTTAACTACTATGTTTTTTTTATATGCATTTTACATCCACTAAATTTAGTAATATAAATGAGTATATCTTATTCAATTATTTATATTAAAATATAGTTCTTAGTAAAAACGAATTTAAAGTTATAAATAATATGTGTTATACGTACCTTTATCTGCTGACATTTTCCCAGATTTTGCTGCTTTCAACTTAGATAATTCTAAATTTGATATAAATATAAATGCATTTAAAATTATATATTTTTTTTAAAAAAAAGGCAAAATTTTCATTTATCTTTATTCGTATCTAAATTTTATTCTTCAAGTGAAGGAAATTTATGAAACTATATACTGGTAAGATCATATTTCATTTCTGATTGGCTAATATTCTAAATGCCAAATATTTTTGTATCAATTAATTTTTTTTAAATATTGGAGGTATTATTTTTATAATTTGGCAAAACATCATATTTACAATTTTATGAAGTATTCATCAGTGATGTTAGGGCTCCATTCGAGCCGATTTTTAAAAACAGCTAACTCAATATTTTATACACATGAAGATTTTTGGTCGTAGATGGCCCGAAGATCTAAACATTTAATAGCGAAATCTCGAGGCTTAGGCAATAAGCTTCTGGCTAAAATATTGAGTTAGCCGTTTCTAAGAACCAGCTCAAAACGAGCCGTTTAATAACACTAGTATTTATATTTCATTAAATATTCATAAGTTTAAAAAACATTAGGCTTGGAACACTAAAAAATTTCTAGACAATCAGAGAAGAAAAAAAACATTTGATCTTGCCTAAACATTTTTATTTTAAATTTATTAGATATGGCTATTTAACCTTCCTGGTATTTCGGTGATAAGGTTATGCCACTTTCTTTTCTTAGTTTAGACAAGGCTTTCAAATCTGCGCTATTGAGTTTTGAGACCCTTGCCTTCAGATCAGCTTTCTGTTCTGGGGTGAGCATGGCAATTTTTTTCTGAATAGCCGCCGCATTCGATGCATTTACGCTTTTCAGTTTCATTAATAAGGCTTCGAATTCGGGCGAATGTACGGAATCTTTAGTTTCTCTTTTACTCACAGACTTTACACTGCCTAAATGAAAATATTAAATTATGAATTGAATACTGAAATAAAAATGTAAAATACAAGGATAGTTGGGACACTTTTCGTTCAAGCCTGAATAAATTTAATAATATTTGAACTATTCTCTGTAAATTTTCCAATTTTTCTAATAAGGCTAATAATTCTGGCGATTGTACCGCGCCTTTTACCTCTCTTTTACTCTTTGATATTTGGGCTGAAAATATTTAAATTACTTCTATTTTATTTTAGACATTAAAATAAAGATTTTATTATTAAATCAGTTTTTTTTTTATATAATTTAGGAATTAAATATCTATTATTATTTAATAATGGAAATTGTATATACCCTTTTTGAGTTGCATCTTTTCAAAGTTTTCTTTAAGGGACTTTAAATCCTCGGGAGTCAAGTTACCAGCCTTTTCTTGTAGCATCTTTTTTTGAGCGGGAGTGAGTTTGGAAATTTTTTCTTGAATCCCCGCCAAATCTGAGGGCTTCATTTCTTTTAGCTTTTTCATCAGAGTCGGATCAAGGGATTTTGAGTCTACAATTTGTCTTTTAACTACTATAGGTTTCTTACGTTTTACTTCAACAAATTTATTTTTTTTTAAAAAAATAAAATAATAATAATAATATTTCTTTACAATTATCATTGTGAGATTGCAGATATTTGTTTGTATGTAAATACCGAAATTTTTGTCAAAATCTTTAAATTATTACGATAATAAATTATACAATTTATTTGAGAATCACTAGAGTTGTAAAACGGCTCGTTTTGAGTCAATTTTTTTAAAAACGTCTAACTCAATATTTTATTAG